TACAATCGTTTTTAAGTTTTCTATAAATTTAAACTTGAAATAAACACAACCGCTTTTAAAACACTGTACAGGCATATAAAAGTTTGATATTTTCTAACATAAAACACCGAAACTGTATACCATATATACGATATTTACCTTCATATTTCGAAATAATTGTCTCAAATTGCCTTATGAAAGGAAAAAAGAAACAGATAATATGGAATTTTTAATGGAACAGAATATTAATTTTTATACTTACAATAAAAATCATTTACATTCTCACACATACAATAGTATATCCGTAAATATCGAATGTACACTAATGTGTCGGTCCATGAATAGTCTATTGGGTGTACAGAAATATGATAGTTTTAATACAAATTTTATTGGTTGGTACTTAAAATAAATGATATGAATTTGCAATGCTTTTACTAAAAAAATGTCTCCTAGTAACAATAACTGAGTCATATTTCTAAACTTAATTTTAAAAGACATACTGAACAATTTTGGAGGAATGAGCTTATATATCAGCTGTTTCCGTGTCTATTCATCTTTAAATAAGTAAGGAAACCTTTTTTTTCAAAGAAATATAACATTATTAAAAAAGAATATTGCAGGTAGATTTGCATAATATTCCAAAAAGCAGTATATATGAGAATGAAAATAAAGTAGAGACTGGAAATAATAATAAAATGACTCTGATCTATTTAAATAATATTTGATCTGTATTGAAATATATCAAAAATTACTTAAAATAGATAAAAGACATTTTCACCGTACTCGTGAAAGTTATAACCTCGCTATGCTAAAAATTCATTAATAAATAGAAAATAGAAAAAAATTTGTGATTTATTGGCAGTACCTTTCGCGTTTTGTCTTCAAGTGCGGTTCAGATTTTTGCTGTCTTACTTCTTATTCAACTTGTTAAAGCAAATATCCTTGCCATTGAAGAAGGTTGTTAGCAACGAAGATGTTGTAACTGCATACACCAATTTGTATGCAAATATCGCGTTTAACTCATTATTAACTGGAAGTTCTTCAAGACGATGGATTCCATGATCTGATAAGTACTAATTATAAATTGTGATTTAGACAACATATAATTTTTTCTTCGTTTATATTTTGAGATATTTATATTAAATATTTGGAAATTAAGTACCTTATGTGGGGTCTGTGCGAAATGGGATGCAGTTCGAAATCATTATGAATAGACCTTGCAAATATTTAATCTATGCAACAATTAAAAAACAGGTAAATTTATATAACGAAAAATTATACTGCAAACTGAAGTATAGACAGTAAATTTATGGACTCAGCATTAGCTCAATTCAATAAAGTTAACTGACTGCAACCCTGATATTTTCAAACGTCACAAAACAATTACAAAAACTACATATAAACTGAAAACAGTTTAAATATGGTCTCCTTATAAATCAGAAAATGATCGTATTGCACACAATACTGTGATGAAGTTTACTTTATTGATTCAATAGTTACACAAAAAACTACAAGACTTTCCACAAGTCCTAAAAAACTTCAACTTATATCATCTCCTCAACATTGTAAAATATAGAGTACTATCATTACTGTCAGCCATACCAAAAATTTGCTACGCGGTTAACAATTCAATGTTAAATTTTGATAGTGAGACGAATTGGCTGCCAGAGATCACGATCACAAACTTATTTCCAGCAGATATAAACAGAAAAATATTCGTACTATCTAAATTGCTATTATTCATTACCCTAGCAATGTTTGTTTAAATATATTCATTTTTATATACTCGTATTGCAGGTGATGGTTTCTTTTTTGAAAATATATGTAAGGTAAATTACTTTCGAAACTAAATTAAGTGGGTTATAAGGGACTTACCTGATATCTTTATATCTTTAGCACCCTTTTTATAGGATTTCTAAAACGTACTAACATTCTGGACAGATCAGTTGCAGTCAAGACATTATTTCTATTTGTTATCAAAAGATAAGATGTTGATATTTTCTTCTCAAAGTGTATAAACATTTGTTTTATGATTAGCTTTTATTTATTTTGTTATATAATAGAAGCTTAAATATTTATAATAATATGTTATATGTATATGTGAAAAAATTGAAAGGATCTTACTCATTTCGATAGTTTTGGAATTGTACTTCAAATTGATTTATTATAGATTTTATTATCGATTCTATTAAAATAAGAAAAAATGTTTTTATATTAAATAAAAAATGAGTTTAAAAAAATAAAATAAAATAAAATATTACTTCCATGTACATAAATCATAATAAAAAACTTTTATTTATTAAATATACTATGTTCTTACAAATAATAAAATAATAAGATTTAATTTCAACTGTTTTTGCATTTTTAGAATTTTTGTAAATCGAAACGCAATTATTTGTTTCAATAACACTGACTAATGCCTATATAGGTGATATCGGATAAAAACTTTAGCAATAGATTTATACTTCAATTTTAATTATTAATTCAACTATAACAGACAGAATGGATATATATATTGTAGATGTAAATAAATAAACTTGTACCCAATATTAGTGTGTAGGGGACGGTGATGATTATTCAAAAATTGAGCACCCCACGTAATTGAAAGGCTACATTCCAATTAACCAGGCTACAGTTAAACTGACTCCAGTAATTTAACTGCATACGGACCATTTAACTTGAATTCTCTCAAATATTAGTCATTGGTAGAATCTAATAATAGTAGGAGAAATCCAAAAATTAATTTATTTAAGAATTTCAAACTGTTTTTCCATTAATAATAAACGTAGCATTCAACATGACACTATATAGATACAATATAGATAGATAGAAAAATACTAATATTATTTTATTCCGTGTTCAGAAGACCATAAAAATAGAAATTCATTTGATTTGTTAATTAATATATATATAAAATAAAACAAATGTTTACTTACCTCCCCTACTATTTGGTTTGCTTGTAACTCCTGTACATTACGAATTACATACATTAATAAAAAGTAAATTTGTGCATTTTAAACTTGGCAAATTCACTTTTGTGGTCCTTGTTTTCATTTTTAAAATTTTGAAGCCATGAAGTTTTATTATTTGAATTTTGTGCCAAATTATACGAATTGCTACGACATTTCATACTAAATTATTTTTAATTAAATTTAATTTGAGTCATCATTTTTCCAACATTTCATGACCATCTTTGATGAGAAATAAAGCTTTAACTGGTAAAGTAATATAATATGGCGTTTACATTGGCCGAAAATGGCTCATTTTGGTCAAAAATCGAAAATGAGTAACGAATGGCTCATTCTTGCATATAAAATTTCAAGCGCAAAATGAGCAATTTTTTCACATTCTGTATGAAAGCCGTTCAAATGCATTCCACATATGTTCCAAATGCAAAGGAATCCATTGAACATACCCTAAATGAAAGCTCTTCATGGCATTTTGACAGCTTGAAAAAGCTGTTTTTAACATATTTACAAAAAAAGGTAAACAAATGTTTGGTGGTTGCATTTTCTTGAAAACGATGCACTGCTTTTTAGAACTTTTACTTCCCAAAAAGTAATTAATCCAAGTTAAAAATATGTTTTAAGTTTCTAATGTAAGGTTTGAAGGCATATTTAACCTTCATGCAAAATTTTTTTGGCACAGGCCAAAAATCAAATCAACACGCAAGTTGAAAAATCAGCTGTTGAAATGAGAACAAATGAAATACAACGAATGTAACCACTTTCAAATGGCTCATTCAAAATGAGCCATTTTTGGCCAATGTAAACGCCATATAACTTAATGCTATTTGTCCTAGAAAATATCTGAACAAGTAATGATTTTCTCTTAATTTGCTTACGTGATATATATAACGTAATACATAATACAATAAGTCTCCGGTTCAAGTACGAAAACAATTTTTTTTTAGATATTCGGCTTTTTTTAGCAATGTACCTTCATTTGAAGGTTATACATTTTTTTCAACGCTCTTTCAACTTTCTCATGTCTTATTCTAGAACAGATTATGAACAGATTTTCCCACGAATAGACTGGATAAAACACCATAAATACTATAATATAAATAGAGTTTTTCATGAATTACAATTAGATTAGTTTAGGTTGGAATAGCGATAGTGTACAGGAAAGCCCACTTAAGCTCGAGTTATAGCACGTTGTGATACCACGCAGTGGCGTTGTTTATACTCCGACCAGAAGGACCGCAGTGGTCAGCGCACAGTCAACGCTAAAAGACACTACTCTCTCTATGAAGTGAAAATGAATCATCCTGACAAATCTATTAACTTGGCGAAGTCCTTAATTTTGCAGAATCAAGTCTCTATTTGACTTGCCAGAACCGATACCCTATTGGTGAGCAGGTTTTGCTTTAGTTAAAGCAGCTGACTGTTGCGTTTCTTGACTTGGTTTGACGAAGTAGACCTGGAATCTCAGAGTTGCTAATTATTTTCGTGTTGCTTAAACCGCTACAAAAATTTCAGTTAATTTCTTTCAATTTATAAGGATCAATTAAATTTCTAAAGATTTTATGAAAAGAGTTCAGTTTTATTTCTCATCAAAGATGGTCATGAAATGTTGGAAAAATGATGACTCAAATTAAATTTAATTAAAAATAATTTAGTATGAAATGTCGTAGCAATTCGTATAATTTGGCACAAAATTCAAATAATAAAACTTCATGGCTTCAAAATTTTAAAAATGAAAACAAGGACCACAAAAGTGAATTTGCCAAGTTTAAAATGCACAAATTTACTTTTTATTAATGTATGTAATTCGTAATGTACAGGAGTTACAAGCAAACCAAATAGTAGGGGAGGTAAGTAAACATTTGTTTTATTTTATATATATATTAATTAACAAATCAAATGAATTTCTATTTTTATGGTCTTCTGAACACGGAATAAAATAATATTAGTATTTTTCTATCTATCTATATTGTATCTATATAGTGTCATGTTGAATGCTACGTTTATTATTAATGGAAAAACAGTTTGAAATTCTTAAATAAATTAATTTTTGGATTTCTCCTACTATTATTAGATTCTACCAATGACTAATATTTGAGAGAATTCAAGTTAAATGGTCCGTATGCAGTTAAATTACTGGAGTCAGTTTAACTGTAGCCTGGTTAATTGGAATGTAGCCTTTCAATTACGTGGGGTGCTCAATTTTTGAATAATCATCACCGTCCCCTACACACTAATATTGGGTACAAGTTTATTTATTTACATCTACAATATATATATCCATTCTGTCTGTTATAGTTGAATTAATAATTAAAATTGAAGTATAAATCTATTGCTAAAGTTTTTATCCGATATCACCTATATAGGCATTAGTCAGTGTTATTGAAACAAATAATTGCGTTTCGATTTACAAAAATTCTAAAAATGCAAAAACAGTTGAAATTAAATCTTATTATTTTATTATTTGTAAGAACATAGTATATTTAATAAATAAAAGTTTTTTATTATGATTTATGTACATGGAAGTAATATTTTATTTTATTTTATTTTTTTAAACTCATTTTTTATTTAATATAAAAACATTTTTTCTTATTTTAATAGAATCGATAATAAAATCTATAATAAATCAATTTGAAGTACAATTCCAAAACTATCGAAATGAGTAAGATCCTTTCAATTTTTTCACATATACATATAACATATTATTATAAATATTTAAGCTTCTATTATATAACAAAATAAATAAAAGCTAATCATAAAACAAATGTTTATACACTTTGAGAAGAAAATATCAACATCTTATCTTTTGATAACAAATAGAAATAATGTCTTGACTGCAACTGATCTGTCCAGAATGTTAGTACGTTTTAGAAATCCTATAAAAAGGGTGCTAAAGATATAAAGATATCAGGTAAGTCCCTTATAACCCACTTAATTTAGTTTCGAAAGTAATTTACCTTACATATATTTTCAAAAAAGAAACCATCACCTGCAATACGAGTATATAAAAATGAATATATTTAAACAAACATTGCTAGGGTAATGAATAATAGCAATTTAGATAGTACGAATATTTTTCTGTTTATATCTGCTGGAAATAAGTTTGTGATCGTGATCTCTGGCAGCCAATTCGTCTCACTATCAAAATTTAACATTGAATTGTTAACCGCGTAGCAAATTTTTGGTATGGCTGACAGTAATGATAGTACTCTATATTTTACAATGTTGAGGAGATGATATAAGTTGAAGTTTTTTAGGACTTGTGGAAAGTCTTGTAGTTTTTTGTGTAACTATTGAATCAATAAAGTAAACTTCATCACAGTATTGTGTGCAATACGATCATTTTCTGATTTATAAGGAGACCATATTTAAACTGTTTTCAGTTTATATGTAGTTTTTGTAATTGTTTTGTGACGTTTGAAAATATCAGGGTTGCAGTCAGTTAACTTTATTGAATTGAGCTAATGCTGAGTCCATAAATTTACTGTCTATACTTCAGTTTGCAGTATAATTTTTCGTTATATAAATTTACCTGTTTTTTAATTGTTGCATAGATTAAATATTTGCAAGGTCTATTCATAATGATTTCGAACTGCATCCCATTTCGCACAGACCCCACATAAGGTACTTAATTTCCAAATATTTAATATAAATATCTCAAAATATAAACGAAGAAAAAATTATATGTTGTCTAAATCACAATTTATAATTAGTACTTATCAGATCATGGAATCCATCGTCTTGAAGAACTTCCAGTTAATAATGAGTTAAACGCGATATTTGCATACAAATTGGTGTATGCAGTTACAACATCTTCGTTGCTAACAACCTTCTTCAATGGCAAGGATATTTGCTTTAACAAGTTGAATAAGAAGTAAGACAGCAAAAATCTGAACCGCACTTGAAGACAAAACGCGAAAGGTACTGCCAATAAATCACAAATTTTTTTCTATTTTCTATTTATTAATGAATTTTTAGCATAGCGAGGTTATAACTTTCACGAGTACGGTGAAAATGTCTTTTATCTATTTTAAGTAATTTTTGATATATTTCAATACAGATCAAATATTATTTAAATAGATCAGAGTCATTTTATTATTATTTCCAGTCTCTACTTTATTTTCATTCTCATATATACTGCTTTTTGGAATATTATGCAAATCTACCTGCAATATTCTTTTTTAATAATGTTATATTTCTTTGAAAAAAAAGGTTTCCTTACTTATTTAAAGATGAATAGACACGGAAACAGCTGATACATAAGCTCATTCCTCCAAAATTGTTCAGTATGTCTTTTAAAATTAAGTTTAGAAATATGACTCAGTTATTGTTACTAGGAGACATTTTTTTAGTAAAAGCATTGCAAATTCATATCATTTATTTTAAGTACCAACCAATAAAATTTGTATTAAAACTATCATATTTCTGTACACCCAATAGACTATTCATGGACCGACACATTAGTGTACATTCGATATTTACGGATATACTATTGTATGTGTGAGAATGTAAATGATTTTTATTGTAAGTATAAAAATTAATATTCTGTTCCATTAAAAATTCCATATTATCTGTTTCTTTTTTCCTTTCATAAGGCAATTTGAGACAATTATTTCGAAATATGAAGGTAAATATCGTATATATGGTATACAGTTTCGGTGTTTTATGTTAGAAAATATCAAACTTTTATATGCCTGTACAGTGTTTTAAAAGCGGTTGTGTTTATTTCAAGTTTAAATTTATAGAAAACTTAAAAACGATTGTACCGGATTTCGGAAGGAACATATAAGATATATATAACTTATGAAGAATTAGAAAGTGTTTAACACTCTTATCTTGAAAAGCCTGGAAAGTATTGACCTTAATTTACTTGTGATGAATTATCTTTTATATAAAAGAATAAAAAAAAGTGTAATAAAAGTTAAATTTTATTACAATATATTTTAAATATATTTTAAATATATTGTAATAAGCCTAAAATAAATTAATTTTTAATATAATTTAGGCTTATTACAAAAACAAAACAAATCAAACATTGTTTCAATTTTGATGATAAGGACGTATACGTAATAACCTATCGAATAATCAATTAGGTATATACCATATTGCATTTATTATGTTTATAACAGAAAATTATATTTAAATACTTTAAAACAAAAATATG